TGTTATGAATTCAAGTGATCAGCTAATAGAATAATTCACAAACGACATGATTTTTATTTTATTAGTTTTTTATTTCATACAAGTAAATCACAATTTGTGGGACGTTCTATAATATTTGCTGAAAAAATATGTAGTAATCAGAAATGGGTTCAACGTACTATGTTTTCAGGCGGATGATTGAAAGGTAGTCTTGAACAAAAAGATTTATGTTTCTTTACAAGCTAGTACCTGAAAATCTATTTCTGGTAGTCTTCAATGGCTTTTATATTACAAACTGAATATTTTAATTTGGATAATTCATAATATAAGCAAAGATATCTATCATGACATTAACTATATACTTTCGTTTTTATCAAACGAATTCGGGCAATTTATTTAAGTCAGAAAGGCGCTATAAATGTAATTAAAATCACTTTTCGAAATAAACCATTATAGAATACCTTATATTGCCATATTTTTTATCGTGATAAATCTATCTACACAATCAATATCTAAATATTAACCATTAATATTATAGATAACTGAGTTTTACTAGTTATATTTCTCCTTTTTTTGAGTATAGTTGTGTGAGGAAAAAATATTACCCATATAAGTTTAGAGCCATAGAATACTTTAGCTTTTTGTGAATTTGTATAAAATATTGAGTTATAGATAAATATTTACAGGATCTTTTGTTTGTAAAATAAAGTTTTGTAGTTGCTAGCAATACATTGAAAGATAATCTATGCTCTTTATCCTATATGAACTCTTCAATCATAGTAATAGAAAGATTACATAATTTGATCATCTTATGAAACCAATTATCATTTATAACTCACTACTATTGGCAAGCATTAATTAACCAGAAGAATTTGAATAATAAACTTAAACGATAGGATCTTCTGGTAATAATCACAAAGTGATATTTCCGTTGAGTGATTATCTAACTTCTTTTTGTTTTATTCAAAATTCTATATTGGTCTAAAATACTCTAAAAGCATTGGATATAAATAAACTGGGCTCATCAGCACACTGTTAGTAATTATCTGATTTATTTCGATGAACATTCAAAGAAATTTAAACCAATATCTTGGGTGTAGTCGGAAGCCAAGTATGTAAATGATATAGGATGAAAAATTGAATTTGAAATAATATCGGTGATTGAAAAATTCCAGAGTATTACTCGACAAACTAGTCTCAAATTCTTCAGGGACATAATCAAAGTTTAAATTACCAAAGGTAAGTAAGGTCAAAAACAAGTTTATAGAAACATATGTCCAATCATTATCAAGTGACAGTTTTGTGTTCAGTGATAATATTAGTTGTTATGGCGTGAAATGCTTGTAATATATAAAACCTCAAGTACATATGAGTAGTGTGTGATGATTAAAATTAGTTGCATAATGAGTTTTGATGTTAAATTAAGTAACTATAGTCAAACCTCAATAATATAATTGACTAAACATTTAGGCATTCATTGCTGTTAGAGTCATGTTATAGGTGACATAAATGCCACCGTGCTTTTTATCAAGAAACGGCTGTCGTAAAGTACCTGACTTCATTCATTCTCTTTTACATAAAGCTTTATCTAGTAATTTTTCTGTGGTATTTTTATTTTGTCAAAGTAAATCTTGCAAACTGCTTCTAACAAAACTAGCACAGATCCCTTATCTGTTATCAAGTTTTTTGAGGTTTTTTGATGATCTAGGAACCTGTTTTCAATAATGATTAGTTATTTTACCCGTGCATTCAGCTACCTGGTTGATTCATATAAACATCATTCCATCAGCTACTTTTAATATCATAGACAACTTTATTGTTCCTCATCAGGAATTCTGTTCTAGGCTTTCAGGAATGCCGGCCCAACGGTATCACCAGCACAAAAATAAACTTTCACACAACATTTGTTTAGATTTCTTTAAAACACCTTGGATGTTTAATTCGAACCAAAGAACACTAACTTTTGACAGAAAGGTAGATAAACTAGAGACCTCTCAGAATGTGTCGATTTTAAGAATACACTAGCTTTCTCACGACTTCTATATCTGTTTTTAATCAAACAATCATAGAGTGCTAGTTTTTAATCTATCGATTCGATCTCCTTGACCAAATTAGTACCATATGATATAATGTTTATCTTTTCGAATCATGCTTTTTATTTATCTCATTCAGCAAAATAGAAATGTCTTCGATATAAAGTTACCAGATGTTTGGTAGTTTTGAAATTTTCATGAATGAATTTATTTCTAAAGAATGAATGAAAAACGTTGTTCGAATTAGTGACCATGGGGATTCTACAGTTCCTATATTCTTGTGTTGATTCAGATTGCCTCTGACAGTGAATTAGGTATAACATAATTCCAAGCACTTAACATTTTTAAGGAGCTTAACAGCCAAAGTAAATTTGTTAGATTCTATTCAATACTCTTTCTCAATAGATACACTGGTGAATACAAAAATAAATATCAGAAGGGGGTTTTGTGGATATAATAGTAATTGTAATAGTTGGAATCATAGGTCAATTGAAGCTAGACCACCATGAAAAAACTGGTAGCACTGGACGGCCGTTTCATCCTATAGTGAGAAGCAGTGACCAATGGAGTTAAACCAGGTCTGTTGTGAGATAGTAACTCACTGATGACAATCGTTGATGTGCCGTGCAATTTAATGGATTAGTTGAAGTTAGACATTAACGTCGACGCCAGCTCAGCAGTCTAATGGTCACGCGCAAAACCGTTAGTCCTGAATTCGAATCTCTCCAGGTGGGATCGTTGTGCGTACTGCTGAGGAGTTCCACATTAGGATGAAATGGTCATCCAGTGCTTTCAGATTTTTCATGGTGATTTAGCTTCAATTGTCTCATGATCTCAACTATTGAAATTACAAAAATAAATGAAAACTTGCCATTTTTTTATCATCTACCTTATAAATTGAATTGAATATATTTTCTAATTATATATTACTACAATATATAAATGTCTTAGCATTTATGAACGCTTCCCAATTAATCGTGTCAATTGAAAAAAGTTATTTTACATTAAGTTTTTACCCGTTAGTGTAAATAACACTTTAAATGTCATACCATTAAATAATCAAGTTATTTTTCACTTTATCCAAACATGTTTACCGAAGCTGTAGTGACAAAACTTCATTTAATTGATAAATTTCTGGCAAATATTATATATTTTATTCATTCCATAAGCTATTATTTATTTTAGAAATACTATAAATAAAATGTTGCTACTTATGTTGGTTGTTGTTACTGTGATTCACACTAAAAATAAACATTTTGCTTCCTGGAAAAAAAACTAACATATCTGACAGTCAACAATCTTTACAACCCTATACTGGTATCTATAATAGTCTATTAAACTGTAAAAAGACAATGATTATACTTTTGAAGATACACATGAAACTGAATACAATAAAATCTAGTTAATTTAAAACCATATGAATAAGTACAATTGTAATTTGATCAATATATAAACAAATGTACATTTATATGATTGATATCTAATTGAGGAACATGAATTGATTCTAATTTCATCCCATTTTCTTCCTATTTCTATTTAATTTGGATGCATATATGAAATTATTTTGTATAGTTTTTTTTATTATTCCATATTCTTGTCACTAGATCATAATATATGACTGTTGAAGAAAAATTCAAATATTGGGATATACTAAAGCTTTATATAATAAAAACTATTCACCTTTATCCAAAATACATAATCAACTGTCTCGTATATTTAGTATTATTTTTTTGTTATATACAAAATATATTTAAAGTTCACTAGTAGATGCTGTGATTTGACCTAAACAGTATTCATAGACAAGAGTTAAAAGGAGATGCTCCACACTGTAGATATTTATGTTGCTCTAAATTATTCCACATTTATAAAGTTTAGTGATCATGAACGATAAATATGTTAAAGGTAACTTGGAATGTAAGTCAAAATCAATTGAATCTGTGTATATATTACTTATTAATCCAGGGTTTTCAACTGATAAGTTTGATTTATTACATAATGGATTAGTTTCAGAAATAACAAAATTTCATGCTATACATTGATCTGAAAAAGTTTATTTTACGGTGTAGAAATAAATTGAGATAACGAATATAATAAATACATTCATTCAGTGTTTATCTTAAAAATATGCATTTCACGTTTGATTGTAATTAGATTTAATTAAAACGTACATTACAGAAAAATATAATTAATTTGTAGAACAAGTCAAAACTAGTTAAACACTAGCTGAAGTACTAAAATACTAATTTACCCCCTACTGAAAAGGATTGTTTAGTTAGTACACCTAGTGCAATCCAAAACACATGTTCTACGTAAATTTAGCAACTAAGCTAGCCCCTAAATTTGAATTTCTAAGCACATGTATTTTTTCAGTCCTTATCACTCCTTAATGTAGTAAAACACTTTTATATTATAGTGAACGATTTGCTTTTTGATATTAGTAAAGTAACAGTAGACATATATTTAATTATTTTAAGATGCACTAAACAAACTGATCAACCAAAATTGAATTGTTCATATGAACTCAACAACTACCAGTGCTTAGATTATGAATTCGAGTTTATAATGATAATATCTGGTACTTATGTGTTTCGTAACCTTGTCTAACCGTGAATATAACTTCAGTGAGTAAGTTATTAGTTGTTAATCGATATATACAAGAAAGACAGAAACATCCTACTTCTAAGTTAAATTGTAACCATGTCAGTAAATCATTGGTTTATGTGGTTTAGAAGTTTGTGTAAATGAGATGGGTAGATACATTTATTCAGTTATTTTCACAGATTTTTCAATTTATTAAGTTGGTAAGATATGCATAATCATTGTAATAACACTATATATTGCCTATTTGATTCTGATTTATTCTATTCATTAGCTGCTAATTTGCATCACTTAATTATATAATTCACCTTTAGTTTTGACATATATTTCCTACTTAATCTTCATACAAGAAGAAATATATTTATGTGACCTATTTTTATACTTTTTCAGAAGTATATACTGTCTAAAAAGTGGAACGACGTGTAAAGTTATTAATATGTGTACATCCAAATAAGAATGTATTATAATACACTGAAGCAATGTCTTGGACTACTATTAATTTTTTTGCACGAAGACATTTAATTATGATTTGATGGATATGAAAAAATCGATTTCTACACAAATGGAAAATTACTTTGATAAATATGATGAAACTAATGTGGTTGAATCGCCATGTCAAGAATTAAAACAAACAAATATAATAAATGAAGTAAATGATTTAACAAATATTAAATGTATACATTCAAGTTTACAAGATGAATTAAATTTATCATTTTTCATTCAAAATCAATCTTTAAAAATAAATCATAAAAATAATAAAGCGCCTAAATTAGATTATAATAACCGAGTGAAAAATAAACATTTAAATCAATGTTCTAATAATGAAATGAATATAATTTCAAATGAATTTTCTTCTATATCACTATCACCTTTACCAAATGAATATAATCCACCTTTATTAACACAAATTAAACGTCAATTTAGACAATTTTGTGAAACAACTTCACTACGTGGTGTCCCAAGAATTGTTAGTACTAAAGATTCAAAACGTCGATTTTTATGGCTTATCTTTGTTATTTCGTTTTTTATTGGTTGTATCACATGTTTAACATTTATTATTAGTCAATATTTAGAATTCGATGTAATTCATCAACCAAAAAAACTTTATGATCAACCACGTCCATTTCCATCTGTAACATTATGTAATTTACGTCCATTTTCTACACGTGATATAAGAAAATTAAAAAAAGCTGGAGTATTACCAGTAGATATGTATTTTGAAATGTTAAAACGTTTTATGATCAGTGTACCAATGGAATATCGACGTTATTTAACTATGCTATGGGATTTTTCTACCTATTTAGCTAATCTACCAGATTTAGTTGATGCAAATAATTTAGGTCATACATTAGAAGATATAGTGAAACGTTGTTTTATTTTATACAAAACTGGTAGTGTAACAAGAGGTACAGCCTGTGAAAAATCAGGTTATTGGACTAAAACACAAGATCGTGTATTTCATAACTGTTATACGTATACAATTAATCCGAATAAAACAAATACAGCATTAAACATGGAACTTGTAGTTTATTTGGATAATTTAATTGAACAAACTGATTGCTTCGATTGTCAAGTAAGTAGTTTTCATTATTAAATATTAGTTCAGTATAAAGTGTATAATCATCTATCATTTAACTTGTTTTACTGTGTTATACTATAAAGACAATTTTAAAATTTTGCTTTCTCAATACCTTATTGCTATTGGCAATTTATCGATCAAGTTATATGGAATTATCAGGAAGGGGATTTGTGGAAATTGTAGTAATTTTATTAGTTGAATTCATGAGTCGATTCAAGCTAGACCACCACTGAAAACCTAGAAACATTGGACGGCTGTTTCATTCTACTATGGAACTCTTCAGCAGTGCTTATCCACCATCCTATACGTGGGACTCGAACCCATGACCTTCGGTAACGCTTGAGAACACTTAACCCATAGACCAGGTTTTTAATGGTGAACTAGTTCAGATTGATTAATGAATTCAACCATCAAAATAACTACAAACTTTACAAATCTCACAAGTTACTAGACTCAAGATGGGTTTCCTGGAGTCCTAGTAAGAAGGCGTGACCAGTGGAGTCCAATCTCTGTCGGATGGAGACAGTTATCCTACTCAGACAATGGATGAAGGGCTTGGCAATATCATAAGTCGACTGAAATTAGACATTGACATCTTTGGATGCCGGCTCTGTGGCCTAGAGTTTAGGCGTCGAAGGCGTGCAGTCCTACGTGTGTGATCGTCGTTACACACGGCCGTCCAGTGCTTTTAGGTTTTCAGTGGTACTCTAGCTTAAATCGACTAACGAATTCAACTGTTAAAATTATATAGAATTACAATCATTTGACATTCATAAAATGATTCGGAAATGAAATACTCATTTAATTTGTCTTTATTCTAGAGATTGTTAGTCCGATTATTAGATAGGTAATTATGCATGCACATTGTGCAGGTAGACAAACTTAATTTGTAAAATAAATTTATTGATAATTAATTTTATGACTTGAGTTTCAAAGAATTTTGACAGAATAATAAATGCCATCTGAATGAAACTAAAAACCTCCACCTGTAGCTCTTCTCGAGTTATTCCCGGTCTTATGGGAGGAGGGTAGGGCATATGGTCTGCAACAGCATCCCGTAGAAAAAAATCTTTCTAAATAAACGCCAACCAGATTAAACAAAGTTAACCATTTAAACTCAGCCCTGGGAGTTGAAGGAAGAATTATGACGCCTCATGATGAAGTCAGAGATTCTTTAAAAGTCACGAGGCTGATGTCCTTTCTGACAACCACAGCAACAATCTTTATAGGTCATTGGAACATCCAGAAAGTGTGGGCGACCAAGAGGATTAGTCAAATATCAACGAAAATGAGGACAATGGACAATGAAGGACGTGCGAATCAAGAGAGGAGCTGATATTATCCAGCTCACCATCAACTGGTGGTTACCACGATGAAACTGAAGCCAAAGTAACACTGGACGACTGGCGGAACATCATCTCAACGAATTCATGGTAACTCTAAACAACAGGTTCCAAGCCTTACTCAAAGAAGAAACTGCTATAGAATACAACTGTAAAAAAGATCAAAAGAGCACTATTTTCAACGTATCAGGAGGTGCTGAACCTCAAGAAGCACCATTACAAAGAATGGATCTCTTTCGAAACCCTGGACAGGATTCAGGAGAGGAAGAAAAAAGGGACAGCAATTAGTTACAACCGAACAAGAGCAGGGGAAGTCAAAGCACAACTTTGAGGCCAACAGGCTGGATTCCGTAAGGATCGGTCGTGAACAAACCAAATCGCAATGTTATCGATTATCGCTGAACAATCAATTGAAAGGAACTCGTCCCTATACACCAACTTCCCTGAATATGAGGCGTTTGAGAGTGAGGATAGGAGAATGTTATGGAAACTATTTCGACGTCGTGGCGTACCTGAGGAGATCATTACCATCATACGGAATTCGTATGACAGACTACACTGCAAAGTTGTGCATGGAGAATAGCTGACAGATGCATTCCAAGTGAGAACTGGAGTCAGACAAGACTGCCTGCTCTCCATCTTTTTTTTATCTAGTGGTCGACTGGATTATGAAGACCTTCACTTATGAGGGAAAGCACGGAATACAGTGGATGGCGCGGACGAAGATTTGTACTTCGCAGATCACCTGAACCTTCTATCCTGCACACACCAATAAACGTAAATAAAGACAACTAGTGAAGCAGCCTCTTGATTAGTAGGCTTCAATACGCAAAGAAAAAAGCGACACCCTCAAATAAAAGAAGGAGAACACTAACCCAATCACATTTGATGCAGAAGCTCTGGAAGATGTGGAGTCTTTCACTCACCTGGACAGCATCGTCGATGAACAAGGTGGATCGGATGCAGACGGAAAGGCGTGGCTTGGTAAAGCAAGGGCTGCATTCCTACTGTGGGAGAGAACAAACCGGCTCCCATATGAAGAGGAAATCAGGAAAAGACGTTGGAAGTGGATAAGTCATACATTGTGGGAATCACCAAACTGCATCACGAGGCAAACCCTAACTTGGGATCCTGAAGGAAACCGGAAAAGAGGAAGGTCAAATAACACACTCGTTGGGACTTGAAAGTAGACATAGAAAGGATGAACAGCAACTGGAAAGAATTAGAAGGTATTGCCTCGGATAAGGTTGGATGGAGAGTTTTAGTGGATGGCCTATGCCCCTCTGCGACGGGTAACAGGAACAAGTAAGTAAGTAAGTAAGTAAGTAAGAACAAAACTAAAAACAAATTCAGAGATAAAACATCTCATTATTTTCTAGTGGATACCATTTGATTTTATTTGCATTAACTTTGTTGTATGGAATAAAATAAGACTTCTACTCATATGACAACTTAATGGATGTGTGGATAAATGTATAAATTTGTTGTAAATGAAACTTCCAAATTATTTACTAATTTCGTATAAAAATTAATGCCCTAATGGGATTTTATAATTGCTATTAGTTGTTCGCAATTAGTTCCTCGTCTTTATAATGTATTAAAATGGAAACTATTTTCTTTTATCTGAAAACAAACTGTGAACATTAATGACTAGAAAGGTCAAGTCATACAGTTAGATCTATGGTTAGTCCAATTCATTCATAACTTTGTTTAAATGACTTTTTAAAGCTTTTCATGTTTAACTGATTACTTTCAAATATGTTAATTAATTAGTAAAATTATCTGCTTTTTGAACACTTCATGTTGAACCAACAATATATGGAAGTATAAAAAAATTAAGAATCCATCTTCTATTAACACAAATTGAACTCACGAAGTTTAATTAGCAATCTTTCAAAACATAATGTTAAGTTATGATATACGTACTTTACCGTTAAAACTATGTCTCAACTTAACTGACATACAAAACAAAGAATTCACACTCATTTAATATGTAGAACATGGATAGATTTACTATCGCTGCAAGATTCCCTAATCAAAAGTATTATTTTACAATCCCTATTACTCTAGAGATATCTTGTGAATTTGTTCTTTTTGTAATTTATAAACCTTAAAATTACGGAAGTTCTGGTTATTCATTAATGCATGGAACGAATTCATTAAACCTATTTTAAAAGAATGAAAATTCATGATCTCATAAACACATCATCGAACACAACGTTGAACTTATATGCATGGGTGTTTAACTTATTAATATTTATTATTTTACATTTCAGATTGCCATATATATATTTTTTTGAAGACTGCCTTTGTTCAAATGTAATATAATTGTTCGTTAATGGCTTAAGTTGAGTAGAAATAGAAAATATTCTGATCTTTAGCGTTTCAAAAAACTCAAGTCTATTGTGAATTAGTTGAATCTAGTTTGAGGGCTTTCAACGCTGAATATTTATGTATTTCAGTCATCGTTTTTAAAAAAACGTTATGGTATGCTGGTCTGTACGTCGAACGCTGTATGTGAAACCAATAATAGAGATATTTCAGGGTTACGGACGTGATAAAGTTTTTTTAAAAATAAATAGCTACTGTAAGTTTATCAGACAATAGCTAATCGCGTGACTGTTATGTTTTTTTCTGGTTTTTAAAGTCATATGAACAATGTACCAAGTCGTAGTTATAGAAAATAAAGTCTAAATGTGAATGTATGATTTCATGTATGATATTCTTTGTGTGTATTGTATCTTATCTGACAAAAACTTTAAAACTGGATTGATTTGACTTTGTTTTTCAATTTCGACATTTAGAATACTGTTTGTTATTATATCGTAAACTTTTTTAATTAAACAACATCTAGTTCTGAATTGAAATAATTATCAGAAGAATACACTTTCAGATAATTCGGATTAGGTACATGGTGATGAAATCACTGCTTTTTAGTATAATGTTGAGCTTTCTTATAAATCTAATGTGGTAAGTTTTGTTTATCACACATGTAGCGGTTAGTAACAGGTTGACTGGATAAATTCAGTTTTCCTATTGTCAAAGTTTATTTCTAAGACATTTTTGCGTGGTATTGAAATGTTTATATTTTTCATCATTATGCACTACAAACATAAATTCCGAATATTTACGTTGGTCATAAGTGATTATAATAGATTTTCCTAGCTGTTTATGTTGATGATGAGGAATAAATTTAAGTAAGGATTTGACTCTAATTTGATCGTTTACTGCTTGTTATCAAAATATACGCGTCGCCAATCCTCATATATAATCAATAACTTATATCGCGTTGGTGAATAACGGAATTAAAAAGAAGTCAACTACAAGAATTAATTTTTAAATACGTATATTCTTGTATATTGATTGATCTGGACAGACAATAAAAAGGGACGGAGCGAAATGACATGCAGTGAAGGCATGTGAGCAAATTCAGTTTAACTAAGCATGAGTGGATATTTTTAGCTCAACAAAAATAAGTCACAGATATGTGATGAATAAATAAAAAGTGCACACACATACGCTCATATAAAAACATTTAAAGTTAATAAACGAATAATTGACAAGGTTAAAATGTGACTCAAGAAGAATGAATAAACAAACCTGTCCGAAAGCTAGAATAAGCTGTGTGGGCTTGACGTAGAAACCGACACT